CAAACTACCCCACCTACACCCTTAAGGCTGTGACACACTGCACGCAAAGCCGCGCAGAACGGTGGTGCGCTGCTTTCGCCTGCAGTGTGTCATGTAATTTTCTCTCCGGCGTGTCAGCTTGCGAGGCCAGAGACCTTTCCTGGTGCCTGTACCTCCAAACAATGCTCTGTTCTCCAGTTCACGTCCTCTAAGGTGTGTTGGGAAACTGACACTTCCAGCAGTGTTGATTTCCTTGGTCTAGTGCAGCTCCCATAGTTCCTCTTGCTGACCTTCATGTCACAGTACGAAACAGGTTGTGGAAGGAGGCAATGAAAACTGCAAGGGACCCAGGAGATGGACACTCCCAGAAGTGTCCATTTCCCTGCAGGGTTCAGATGATGGGAACTGGTGAACTAAGCGGTGTTCAGTGGCGCAGGCATCGGGAAAGGTGAGTATTTACAATCTTCTTTTACAGGTAACAGGGATCTGACTTTCTATTTTTTACAGCAGTGCTGCTTTAATGTCATCTGCTTCTCTTTATAATTGATCAAAACCCAATCACAAAACCTTCATATAAGCTTTAACATGTTATTGCTTTTCTTTAAAATATATGGTGATCTTGTCATGAAGGTTCTTGTTCAAGCACTTCCTGTTATAGGGTGACAACTGTCTCCCAACTGTGCTCCTGCATTGTCACCCTGCTACATGCACCTACAAGCAGCCATAATGATACACATTGCATGGGTATGGTCCACCATTGTCACTATCAGTAAACTAGCCCAAAACAATAATCTGTAGTAGATGCTGGAGCGAGGGCCTATAGACTGGAAGTGTCTGAGAACAGCTGGGGAGATCAGCAGCACTGAAATGCAGAAAGAATGAAAACAATGTGTAAAACATTTTTTTGTAATGGAATAAACATGGCAATGATTTATGATACACAATGCATTAGCAAACTATATATCATCCGGTTATGATTTAGAGCTACTTTAGGAGGCATACTGTACATATGTGACAGTGGGAGAAAAATGCACAAACACTAAAAACTGTATTAAAACATAATTTAGGCTATATGTAACTATTTACATGTGATTTCTATTATTCTAAAAAGGAGGTGTGAAGGGAAAAACTCTAATTGACATTGGACATGGACCTACCATTTATCAGGACCTCTCAGCTTGTGAAGCTTTTGAAGAGATCATTGGAGCAGACTACACAGATCGCAATAGAGAGTACTATGAACGAAGCCTTAGAAATGAGCCTGGAACATTTGACTGGACAGGAGCTATACAGAAAGTCTGTGACCTGGAAGGAAAAGGGTATGGTTAAACAATTTTGATTCCAGAGCTTATACAAGGGAACCCAAGGTGTGCAGTAACAACACTGTCACACTGGACACTTGGGGTAGTAGGGCCATTCAAGTACCAAGACCCCTCCCCTCTTCCACCATGGCCCCCAAAATGTTGGTTAAAGCTTGAAGTTTACTTTGCCTAATGGTAGGCCTGACCATTAATATGGCATCAGAAATGGTCAAAAATGAAATAGTGTATGATGATAAAATGGCTGTGGCCTAAAATTGTGTGGCTGAACACTTTTAGGTGAGAATTTTACTGTAGAGGTGTTTAAATGTGGGGGTGGGGCTAATGTGCCAGTATCTTTTATGACTGTATTTACAGTCTTTAAAACATGCCATTCATATGAAGTTATGGAGCAGTTTATTTTGGATATTTATTTTAGTGACAGTGTCAATTTAAGTACAGATTAATTGTCTCAGTCGTGTTTATTGTTGTACATGCATCCTAACAGGCCTTATGCTCACATCTCATTAGTTGTACATTAATTTTTAAATAAAAGAATAGTTTTTCTTGACCAATGGATATGTTGTCTCACATAAGAGGTGCAGGTTGTCCCAAAATACATTTTCCATCTTAGTTGCTTATCAGCTGTCTAAGTAGTCTCTTGGCTAAGACAAACACAAAGCCAGAAGGAAGAGCAGAGTAAATGATAATTACCTCCTGGCTCAGCATATGAGTTGGCAATGAGCAAGAACTCTTGATGCTTGATCCCTGTATTTTATGATCTAAATAAAATCTAGCATTTTTTTTTTTTTAGAATGACGGTGGAAGAGAAAAGGAAGAAGTTGCAAAATACAGTGAAGAAGACCATAAAGTGTGATGTTTTGAAAAGCAAGCCAATGGAACCGCTAGTTCTGCCGAAGGTTGACTGTGTAATAACTCTTGGGTGTTTGGAATGTGCATGCAGTGACCTTGATACCTATAGCAGAGTGCTTAAAAATGTTGCATCTTTGATAAAAATAGGAGGGCATCTGATTGTAACTGAAATTCTAAACTGTAGCTCTTACTTACTTGGAGGTAAGAGGTTCTCCTGTTTGGTGTTGACTGAGGAGTTTATGAGAAGAGCTATTGTTGAGGCAGGCTTTGCCATTGTGGATTTGGAAGTCATACCCAGAAAGTATGATAAAGAGCAATATGAGCTCTGTAACCATGACTCCAGCTTGTTCGTGCTTGCACGAAAAGAGCGAGATGTTTAGAAGAAACTTGATAAAATATAGAAACATCATCACTGCTCACTTATCTATTACTACACTATAGCTACTTATTTTAAATAAAATATAACAGAAAAAATATGAAGTCCTGTAAAATTTAATGGGGTGTGCAGTAGAACAAATAAGTCATTCAATCTACAACTCACATTGATCAATTATATAATCTCTATGAAAAGCATATATTTCAGGAAAAAAAGCCTTGTGTTTACTAAAAGCATCCTTTCAATTCAGTTATTCAATCTATATTTTTAAAGTTTCCCCTCAGCTTTGCACTAATAGCAAAGCCAATCTGTATCTTTAAGGAATTGTTTATCCATACACATCCTGTCTGCCCTTTATCCAGATGTATGCAATATCCTAAAGTAAAACGAACCTACCCTAATCATTTCTAAATTAGCCAGATTGAAATGCAGGGACCTTGTGATGACTGGAAGTCCTAGAATTAGTCTTTAGATCAATCCTTGTGTTTCTATGGAGCCTCTTGGTATAGAATTAAATCATGTTATTCTGTGTCTAACATCATGTACCTAACGTTTGCTAAATACTGCATATAGCTTCACAGGATGTCTGGAATTTGTTGATTCAGGGCAAGAGGGGGCATTGGAAATGTTGGTTGAAGATAGCTCTTGTAATGATTAACCTTACATAGGAGCAGATAATAAAGCCAAACGGAAGTCTCCACTTTTGGATACAGCATGTCTTTATATGTGTGTGTAGTTAAATAGGAACCAGAGTTGGTCCCAGTACATTCAGTAATGTAACAGACCTGGTCAGACACCCTCTCTACTCTACAAGTCTGTGTGAGGTCACTTGTGAGAAAGGTTGTGGCTGGTATGTATCTATGTCAGCATAGACTACTGAAGTGTGCAGACAGGAGCACCTTTCTACAGAGAAAAAAGGGTATTATAAGGCATTCCAATCAAAATTAGTTAAAAAAAATAACAAGTGGGACTGCAGGACTATAATGTGAAGTGGGTTGGATTTTTCTTCACTTTCACTCCCAATGACAATGGTTCCCAGGGCACATAGAGAGAGTGAATCTACCCAGAGAGGACACAGACATTATTAAACACCTTGTAATAGGAAAATCTTAGCTTAATCAATATACAAAAATAACAAAAATATATACAGACTACTGCATCTGCATACTTGCTGCGGGTCATGAAACTGGATCGGCATTATAACCAGGCAACTAGCCTTTTCAGAAGAACAAAATAGCAATAGCACCCCTCCATTTTTTCTTGCTACATTCTTCTCCTGTGGAAGCATTTTACTTTAGTTGTTTTTCAAATATACATTATGTGGCACCAACTGAGGTTTGTTTTGTTTGACAAATTTAGAAGACCATAAAAAAACCTGTCAAATCTCCTCGAGAGTGAAGCTAAAGGGGGGTAAAAATGTTATAATTGTCACTATAAGATGGATAAAAGTGATATTTTCCAAGTACACTTGCTCCCTTGTCAAAAGTAGGATTTTCTCTACCCTTCCCTATTCTGTCCAAGATTTAAAAAAAATAAAAAAATAACTGGAGTTACAATTTGAGGCACTCCATTTGAAATACCATTAGTTCAAGACTGTTGTACTGTACAGACTTATGATAACCAAAAGGATCGATCATAGTACTTGCAACTGTTTGTAACTGCTTAAATTGGAGGTGTAGCCAATTTTCTGAAAGTTTTAACCCCGACATGGTTCCAAGAGTGTTATTCAGCTTTCACATAAGCAAGGGGTGCAAACGTATATTGTATAATTGCATGTGAATGTAATCTCTGTTTTTTTAATTGAGTATTATGCATCTTGTTCTGTAATTGAATGTTTTTTGACATAAAAAGTATATTCCACACAGCATGTATTCATTGATTAGTTCACTGAATTTTTTTATTCAATAGATTACTATTTTCTAAACTGTGTAACAATCCAAACTACTATGAATTATGTTACTGTTACTGCTGCCAAATAAAATGACCTGGTTACCTTATGCAAGTGTTGCTTTAATTTCTTTTTATACCTATCTGTGGTACAAAAAAATAAAAAAGCATGTCTTGTTACTACTTCTATTTATGTATCCTCATATCAAGCAAAACTTGGCTGAGGAAGCACATTGGTCTTATTTGTCAAGTGAATGAAATAATTGTTCATGTTATCCCATATCACCAAGTCAGGACGTTAATTCTCTGATATTTCAGAGAGGATTTACACCTTGTTCTTAAGGTACTATGGTCAGCATGCATGTTAAAAAGATTCAGTTTTAATTTGGCTTCTGAATTAATCTGAATATTGTCAGGGTTATTCACAAAAGGGTGAAGAGTTTGAAAGCAAGATAAATGAACAATCTAGGACAGCATAGCAGAACTGGAAAGTGAGCAGAACTGGAGAATTTTTCCAAATCACCTATTTTGGCCTAGATTCTTCACTTCTCCAAACTCTTCACCGGTTTGTGAATAACCCTGATAGTGTTTACGGAAACCTGTTCTTATAGAAACCTGTCCTTAGAGAGACTTGACCTGTCCTGAAAATGCAAGATGCCTATATATTGCAATAACACTCTCAATTTAATATATTAAGTCACTAACCCAGAAAAAGCATGCCAGTAAGGACTCCAGACTTCTCTAAAGGTCTTATAAGATTGGGATAGATGACTCCCATTTGAAATTCAGTAAGGTTTGCTGCAAATCACATTGAAGTCTATGGGGAGTGAATCTTGTTATTAAATTCTGTCCATTTCCAAATAGGCAAACTACCATCAAAAAAGACATCGGAAGCTGGGCAGTACCGTGGGGTGAAAATACCAATTAAAATTATGTAGAAAATTGTTATAAAAAACAACACCATACTGCGGGAAATAGGGTCTTTTCATGCAGCTTCAATGGCAATATTAAAAACCACAAATTCTTCAAATACCATGCTTGGAGGATGCCTTAAAGCCTTAAAGCCTACAGAAGTACTGTTTGTTTCTTACTGAAATTAAAAATAGTTTGCACATTTTACCTGTCATACAGTTACTTAGGGCCTCAAGTATAAACATGTTAGTATTTAGAGCTGAAGATACTTCTCTACAGACACCAATCAGACTGAAATCTACAATTAAACTTCCTTTATTAGTGGCTGTGAAATATCTCCACTTAGGTACAAGCACTTTGAGACATCATGGCTCTAGACCAGGGGTGCCCATTAGGTCGATCGCGATCTACCAGTTGATCGCAAAGCGAACACTGGTAGATCACGATCAGATGTGTTCTCTGGGGCTTCTCCTCTGGATCCCCACTGCTCTCCCCCATCTGTATGCAGCGGGGATCCGAGGAAAAGTGAAGAAAGTGCTGCAGCCAGCGCTGAGGGGGTGGAGGACAGGGCCGCTGTCACAGCAGCATGGCTGAGCAGTGAGGAGGGAGAAAGAGAGAGAACCGCTCTTCCAGGATCGGAAAGCCAACGGCTCTCTCTCCGCTCGGCCATGCTGCTGTGACAGCGGCTCCGTCCTCCGCCCGTTTCACTTCTCCCCGGATCCCCGCTGCATATGGATGGGGGAGAGCAGTGGAGATCCAGAGGAGAAGTTGCAGGATGAGCCCTCCTGTGTGCGTGGCCGAGCGGCGCTGGATCGGTACATATCAGTGATACGTACCAATCCTCTGCAGAATAAATGCTGGAGCGACCAGCTGATCACTCCAGTGTTTGTAAATAACTGGGGACACATAGCACTAGGTGTCCCCAGTTATGAATGAACAGGAAATGCTTTGCACCACTTCCTGTTCATTCATGAGTTTCTCAATGGGGAGTAGCACTCAGTACAGAGGCTTTGCCCCATTCAGAAACTGCTTGACAGTAAATATGTTCTGAATGATTGGGAAGCCTCTGTACTTTCCATTCATTTAGAACAGAGTCTGCAGAAAAAGAGATTGAGGAATCTGTGTCCTCAATTTATTTTTCTATTTTGAAAGGGAAATATAATTGTGCTGTTTAGACCCCTGATATTTCCCCGAAAGCCCCCCCCCCCAAGAAAAAAAACACATCCTGGAGGCAGGGCGCTGGGTGACATCACACGCCTGTTGGAGGGGCACGGTTTTTTTTCTGGCCTCAGGCGCAAAAGGAGCTAGCTACGGCTCTGCTCCCACGGTGCTTGTGCAGCTGCCGGCTGAATGTGTCAGATGCCGCAGACAGGAAGAGGCGGGACACCTAACGCTCCTGCGTTCCCGGGTGCAGGCGATCACACTGCAGGTGGGGTGGGTGTGGCTGCGGTGCCATTGACTTCAATGCAGTGCCACGCCCTCTCCTGCCCCTGAATGCAGGTGTTATTTCGTTGGTAGATCTCATTGAGCTCATCATTTAAAAAGTAGATCTCCAGATGAAAAATGCAAGCCGGCCGGCTCCCTGCATTCAGGGGCGTGAGGGGGCATGGTGGAACATTGAAGTCTATGGCACCGCAGCCATGCCCCCAGCCCTCAGTGTGATCGCCCGCACCCCGAACGCAGGCACATTAATGCCTGCGTTCCGGTCCAGTGCGATCTGCAAAAATGACTCTATGATTTGGTTCTTTCTTTCATAAATCACAATAAAGCAAATATTACATACAGATGAAGATATCTAAAATGATGGTTGGTTAGTCAGAGTGTCAGCTACTCTGTACATTTTCTTTTGGAAGCTGTAGGCTATTGGCTGCAAAATAATGTTTGAGGTTAGTCCAGAGGTAGCACTGATTCCATTATCATGTTTTTTTAAGTAAGCTTGGTATGAACAAAAACTAAAAAAAACTAGTAACAAATATGTAGAACAGATACCTAAAGGTGACTGCATACATTTTACATAGCTGCTGGAGCACCTGTGGAGCTCTAAAAGTCTGTGTTTTGTTTCAGCGTCTGCAAAGAAGGTCAAGCTCAGATCCACCCTCTCCCAGGTCTTGCACCTCACTACTGGTAGAGTAAAATGATGGGTGGTTTTATGACTGATAGGTAAGCATGTAAGGCAGGTGAGGGAGGGAAGATGCTTGACTTTCTCTGTACAAGTCAAAATATGCATATCAGACTGTCCTACATTTTGAGGTTCCTGAGGCATTCCAGCAGACAACTGAAACACATGCAAGC